CATCAGGATTCAGTGTAAAAGGCCACGGCAATATTGAAACTTGTCAGTGATTTGTTTGCAAACATTTAACTCCCGAAGGACATACAACCTCCGACGAACACAAGTCGGGAAACCCTCTGACCAGACCCGACCAGGAGTGAATTACCCCACCCCAGGAGAAAAGCGCCTGTCCTTAAGACTAACAAGTGTGTAATAGAAAGAATAACAGAGTTGGAAGGGACCTTGGAGGTCGTCTAGTCCAACCCCCTGCTCAGGCAGGAAATCCTATACCCTTTCAGATAAATGGCTGTCCAATCTCTTCTTAAAAACCTCTAGTGATAAGGAAGGAAGAAAGGAAGGAAGGAAGGAAGGAAGGAAGGAAGGAAGGAAGGAAGGAAGGAAGGAAGGAAAAAAGAATAGCAGAATAATAGAATAACAGTTGGAAGGGACCTTGAAGGTCTTCCAGACCAACCCCCTGCTCAGGCAGGAAATCCTCTACCATTTCAAATAAATGGCTATCCAATCTCTTCTTAAAAACCTCCAGTGATGGAGGGAGGGAGGGAGGGAGGAAGGAAGGAAAGAAGAATAGCAGAATAATAGAATAACAGTTGGAAGGGAATTTGGAGGTCTTCCAGACCAACCCCTTGCTCAGGCAGGAAACCTTGTCCCATTTCAGATAAATGGCTGTCCATTCACCATGGCAGCAGCAACACAATCAAGCCAACCCATCAGTTTGATCAAACCAGAACTGGAAGGGACCTCGGAGGTCTTCTAGTCCAACCCCCTGCTCAAGCAGGAGACCCTCTACCATTTTTGACAAATGGTTGTTTAGTCTCTTCTTAAGTGTTGGAGCAACCCACAACTTCTGGAGGCAGGTTGTTCCACTGGCTAATTGTTCTAACTGTCAGGAAGTTTCTCCTTAGTTCCAGGTTGCTTCTCTCCTTGATGAGTTTGCATCCGTTGCTTCTTGTCCTGCCCTCTGGTGCTTTGGAGAACAGGTGAACCTCCCCCTCTTTGTGGCAGCCCCTCAAATATTGGAAGACTGCTATCATGTCGCCCCTAGTTTTTCTTTTGACTAGACTAGACTAGACTAGAGCTGGAAGGGACCTTAGAGATCTTCTAGTCCAACCCCCTGCTTAACAGGAGAACTATACCATCTCAAACAGATGACTGTCCAGTCTCTTCTTTAAAACCTCCAGTGATGGAGCACCCACGATTTCTGGTGGCAGGCTGTTCCACTGGTTAATTTTCGTCAATGTAGACTAGACACGACACACCCAATTCATGCATGGATGGAAACTAATCAAGCAGGGAAGCAAAGGAGAAATTTCCTGACAGCGAGAACAATTAACCAGTGGAACGACCTGCCTCCAGGAATTGTGGATGCTCCAACACTGGAAGTTTTTAAGAAGGGATTGGACAGCCATTGGTCTGAAACAGGAGTAGGATTTGCTGCCTGAGCAGGAGGTTGGACTAGAAGACCTCCAAGGTCCCTTCCAACTCCGTTATTCTGTATTCATATATTTCAGCTGCCACTGATCCTCTTTGTGACTCTTCTCTGCACTCTTTCCAGAGTCTCAACATCTTTTTTTTGTATATTGGGGTGACCAAAACTGGATGCCGTATTATTCCAAGCTTGGCCTTACTGTTTGTTCGGAGGCCACCTCGACACTCTGCCACTACGCTGCCACTCTGCCACCCCCACCGTAAGGCACTGCTTCCAGGGAATAAAAGTTCCACGGTCCTTTCCCAGCCTTGTCTCAAGGCCAGCCGCTTGGGAAACCGGAGTCAGCATTCCTCAGAGGACCGTTCCCAAAACAATTCTTCTAAATTGGATTGGACTTGTGAGGGACCAGCCATGGGAGGCACCTCGGAGAGGGCTAAGTTGCACTAGGCGGGAATTTCAGTTCTGTGGAATCCCTTGACTTCGAGTGAATTCTACAGAAGAGAGCTGAGTTGGGACGGGAGGTCCCCTGGAGGTCCTCTAGTCCAACCCTCCGCTCTCAGGCACCAAGGGTGTCTGATTCTCAACCGAAGGGGTGTGTGTGTGTGAAGGATCGCCCTTCCTTAGGAGCCCAGAGTTTGAGGCAGGACTGACCGCGTTGCCGTTCCTTCAGCAAACCATGGCTTAGCACCAAAAAGCATGACCCGCTCTCATCATACAAGCCAGACTGGACAATTTGGGGGACGGTTTTTGGCAACCGACAAAGAGAGCCATGTCGCTTGCTCGGATCAAGTGGTGTCTCGGTTAAGTAACTCTTTGTCTCTGGTTTTGAGTTTTAGCAAGGAGCCCGGTTGTGCTCACGGTCCAGGTGATTAGATTGTGTGGGTGTGTGGGTGTGAGAGAGGTGATTAGAAGCCAGGGGGTGTGAGTGTAAAGCTGGTTTTTTTGCCTTGCCTGTCTCCAAGGTCAAGAGAAGGCCAGAACGGGGAGGACGACGGCAAGGGAAATGTGAAAATTGTTGTGTGTGTGTGTTTGTGTGTTTGTGGACGTGGGTGGGCGAGTGAAGGACCCGTCCTTGGAAAAGGCTAAACCACAAAGGAGGATCAGCCAAGTGATCTAATTATGGTAGACTTGGGGGGGGGGAGCGTTCAGGCTTCCGTGCCTGGATAGACCATCACAGGCCAGGAAAGGAATAATTAGGTTTCTGATTCTGGATTTCTGTAAAATATTCCTAAGGTGGATGAAAACTCTTGTTGAATCTCTCTCTTTCTGTGTCCATCTCTCTCTCTCTCTCTCTCATTTTTTCAACATATTTTCAACTTATTTATCAACTTATTTATCATATTTATCTCTTTTATTGTTAATTTTTATTTCTTTTATTTGTTGTCTATTATCTATTTTGTTTATCTAATTTATTATCTATTTCATTAATTTTTATTTTATTTATTTTATTTATTGTCTATTATCTATTTTATTTATCTATTTTATTATCTATTTCATTGATTTTTATTTTATTTATTTTATTTATTGTCTATTCTATTTTATTTATCTAATTTATTATCTATTTCATTGATTTTTATTTTATTTATTTTATTTATTCTATTATTTATTTTATTTATCTAATTATCTATTTCATTGATTTTTATTTTATTTATTTTATTTATGGTCTATTATCTATTTTATTTATCTAATTTATTATCTATTTCATTGATTTTTATTTTATTTATTTTATTTATTGTCTATTCTATTTTATTTATCTAATTTATTATCTATTTCATTGCTCATTTTTATTTTATTTATTGTCTATTTATTTTATTTATCTAATTTATTATCTATTTCATTGCTCATTTTTATTTTATTTATTGTCTATTATCTATTTTATTTATCTAATTTATTATCTATTTCATTGCTCATTTTTATTTTATTTATTTTATTTATTGTCTATTATCTATTTTATTTATCTAATTTATTATCTATTTCATTGCTCATTTTTATTTTATTTATTTACTTTATTCCTTTTATTTTATTTATTGTCTACTATCTTTATTAAATCTATTTTATTATCTATTTTATTTATTAATTTTATTATTTATTTTGTTCATTGTTTTATGTTATTCATTGTTTTATTTATTTTATTCTTTATTATCTATTCGTTTTATTTGTAAAATAAAAAAATATTTATAAAAAGTTGAAAAATAAATGGATGTTTTTTTAAAATATATATATATATATATATATTTTTCCAAACTTCTTTTATTTATTTATTCAACTTATTCTCCAAAGCACCAGAAGGCAGGACGAGAAGCAATGGATGGAAACTAATCAAGGAGAGAAGCAGCCTGGAATTAAATAGAAGCTTCCTAACAGTGAGGACAATTAACCAGTGGATCAGAAGTTCCCCCCCGAGTTTTCTAAAAAGAGATTTATTTCGAATAGTATAGGGTCTCCTGCCTGAGCAGAGGGTTGGACTAGATGATCTCCAAGGTCCCTTAAGTCATATTCTGTTATTCTCTTATTTCTCTCTCTCCATTTTTTGTCTCTCTCTCTCTCTTGTCTGACTCCATCCATCCATCCATCCATCTCTCTGTCACTCTTTCTGTCTCCATTTATTTATGTCCCCTCCCCCCCATCTCTCTTCTCTTTCCCTTGAGTCACAGCCCTGAGTGCTCCTGCCACTCCAGGTGCTCCTGACTTACAACAGTTCATTTAGTGACCGTCCAAAGTTACAAAGGCACTGAAAAAAGGGACTTACAACCGTTTTTCACACTTACGACTGTCACAGCATCCCCGGTGGTCAGGTGATCAAAATTCAGATGCTGGGCAAATGACTCATAGTTATGACGGTCACAGTGCCCCCAGAGGTCACGTGATTCCCCCTTTTGTGACCTTCTGACAAACAAAGTCTATGGGGGGGGGGAAGTCTGATTCGCTTAACCACGATGTAAAAAAGATGTTGAGACTCATAGGATTTCCTGCCTGAGCAGGGGGTTGGACTGGATGACCTCCAAGGTCCCTTCCAACTTTATTATTATTATTATTATTATTATTATTATTATTATTATTACTAAATTAACAACTGCAGTGATTCACTTAACAGTGGCAAGCCAGGCCGCAAAACATTGGAACGGACATTTTGGGCTGTGCAAAAAAGGTCCTAAATCCCTTTTTTTCCAGTGCTGTTGTAACTTCGAAAGGTCACTAAATGACCTGTCGTAAGTCGAGGACAACCTGTGTAGGCTCGCGCAATCAATCTGAGTTGTAACTTAGCCTACGGTCCTGATTCCTATCGCTTGACAGCCCCTTCCTCTTTGCAACCTGGAGGGGGGGAATCCATCAGAATGGAGCTGGAAGGGACCTCAAGAGGTCTTCTAGTCCAACCCCCTGCTCAAGCAGGAGACCTTAGGCCAAAGTTTTCACCTTCTGAGATCTTTCCGGTTCTTCGCGATGAGAATTCGAATTGTGGTTTGAGGAAGAAGCAGCGTTGGGACTTTGGAACGAGCCCTTGAGAACGGGGGGTGTCTTTTCTTGCAGGTCCCCGGATCCCCCGTGTGCCGAAAACCACGTCGTTCCTCAAGAGATGCTCCGCTTGAATTCGAAGGAGGTCCGTCAGCTTCTACACAACAAGTTTGTGGTCATCTTAGGCGACTCAAGTGAGTGCAGCCTTCGGAGAGAGGAGCTCCCAGCTCTCTTGAAGGCATCTGAGGTAGCTTTCTCCAGCCCTGGTGCCCTAGATCAGTATCCTGGATGAAGGTCCCATTGTAGCCGTGGAAAAAGGATCAGCGGTTGCTTGCTCATTATGGGCTTGTGAGTTATTCAGGTCCAGCACCATCAGATGGGGAACCTATCTGGAATGGTGGGGGAGAGGGCCAAGGATGATGGGGGTTATAGTTCAATGTGGAAGGAGCTGGATCTGCTTTCTGCTGGAGAAGAATGAAAAAAGGGCATGGACCTTCTCTGTTCTCCCTTCTTCTAGGAGCATGGATTTCATATAGCATCCAAAGGCTGGAAGGGACCTTGGAGGTCTTCTAGTCCAACCCCGTCCTGCAATCTTTTATGGATAAAATCATCAGTCTTCAAACTTGGCCACTTTAAGACTGGTGGACTTCAACTCCCAGAATTCCTCAGCCAGGCATACTGGCTGAGGAATTCTGGGAGTTGAAGTCCACTCCTCTTAAAGTCTATATCAGGGGTCTTCAAACTCAGCCCTTTGATGACTTGTGGACTTCAACTCCCAGAGGAATTCTGGGAGTTGAAGTCCACCCGTCTTAAAGTGGCCAAATTTGAAGACTTCTTAGATCAAGGCTTCCAAGCTGGGCAACGTCCAATGGTGTGGCTCAACTGCCGGAATCCTCAGCAATGGTGGTGCTGGCTGAGGAATTCTGGGAGTTGAAGTTCAATGACCGTCGTGGCTTAGGCCTGTAACGGGCAGGGCAGGCTCCCTGGCGGTCGTAAATTGAGTTTGAGGTGCAATTCCATTCTCCTCTCTTCCTCTTTCGGCAGTCCAGCGATCTGTCTACAAGGACCTCATTCAGTTGCTCCAGAGTGACTCCTTACTCACTTCGTCCCAAATGAAGACTAAGGTAAGTAATGAGGTCTGGTGGAGCTGTTTTTTGGGGGGTGGGGGTGGTTCTCCCCTTCGAGACGGAACTCGCAGGAAGGAACCACGGAGGCAACGTCCGAAAGTGATCCAATCCACATATAACAGGGCTGTTGAGGGCACCTCAGAGGTCTTCTAGTCCAGAGGTCTCCAATCTGTGGACCGCGGCCCACTGCTGGGCTGTGGCCTCTTGGCCACCGGGCCGCATGAAGGGATGTCCAGTCCACGTATGTGCTTGCACTCACTGCCCACTCTCGTGCTAGCGCCGCTCCGAGCGTCCCACCGGCGCTAGCATCGCCCTGCCCCGAACGTCCCACCAGCACGAGCGCAGCACAGGTAAGTCCAAGCACAGAGGCGGGGGGGAGGGGAGGCAGGCAATCCCGACATGCTGCCCGCTCTGTCCCACCGTCTCTCGGCTTGCCCGCGGCCACCTGGTGCATTGGGATCACCTGCCTACCCCTTGTGCATGCGCTGGGGGTGGGTCGCCTGGCCAGGCTGATCACCCTGATATTGTGTTTTCCCGAAAATAAGCCCTAATGCGTCTTTTGCTGCAAAAATAAAAATAAAATAAAAAAAGACCAGGTTTTATTTTCGAGGAAATATGGTCTCTCTCTCACACACACACACATCTGCCTGCCTGCCTATCTGTTTTTCTGTCTGTCTATCTTCTATCTGTCTGTCTGTCTATCTATCTTCTATCTGTCTGTCTTCTATCATCTATCTACTATCATTTATCTTCTGTCTGTCTATCGTCTATCGTCTATCAATCCTATCTTCTACCTGTCTGTCATCTGTCTTCTATCATCTATCTTCTATCATTTATTTACTCTGTCTATCATCTATCATCTATCTTCTATCAATCCTATCTTCTATCTGTCTGTTATCTATTTGTCTTCTATCATCTATCTTCTATCATTTATTTACTATCTTCTATCAATCCTATCTTCTATCTGTCTGTCATCTATTTGTCTTCTATTATCTATCTTCTATCATTTATTTACTGTCTATCATCTATCTATCTATCTATCTATCTATCTATCTATCTATCTATCTATCTATCTATCTATCTTCTATCTAATCTACCTACCTATCCACCCACCCATCATCTATCTATCTATCTATCTATCTATCTATCTATCTATCTATCTATCTATCTATCTATCTATCTATCTAATCTATCTATCTATCTACTTATCTACCTATCTACCCACCCATCATCTATGTATCTATGTATCTTCCATCAATCTATCAATCAATCAATCTACTTATCTATCTACCTAACTATCCACCCACCCACCATCTATCCACCCACCCATCATCTATCTATCTATCTATCATCTATCTATCTATCTATCTATCTATCTATCTATCTATCTATCTATCTATCTATCTATCTATCTATCTATCTATCTATCTATCTATCTATCTATCTACTTATCTATCTACCTATCCACCCACCCACCCATCTATCCATCCATCTATCCATCCATCCATCATAGATGATACACGAGCCGTGGCGGCACAGTGGTGAGAATGCAGCATTGCAGACAAACTCTGCCCACTGCCAGGAGTTTGATCCTGACTGGCTCAAGGTTGACTCAGCCTTCCATTCTTTTGTGGTTGGTAAAATGAGGACCAAGATTGTTGGGGGGGAGGGCTCAGATACTGACTCTATAAACTGCTTAGAGAGGGCTGTAAAAGCACTATAAAGCGGTATATAAGTCTAAGGGCTAATGCTAGTGCTACATCTGGAGCTTATCGAACGTCTGTTCTTTTCTCTCTCCAGGGCGAATTCACTTTTGAAAACGACCACCTAATCGAAGGCGGTGTGCTTGAGGGCCTACACAACGGAATTCATTACCGGGAAGTCCGTCAGTATCGCACCCGTTATCATCTCGTCCGCTTCTACTTCCTGACTCGGATCTACTCGGCATATCTGGAAAGCATCCTCGACGATTTCCGGGCTGGCCCACCGCCAGATGTTTTGATCCTCAATTCTTGTGTTTGGGATGTTTCCAGGTAGCCTGTCGTCCGTCGTGGGTGTCAACCGTTGGATGACCTTCAGAGGGCTCTTGGTGGTTCAAAGGCCTGAAATCCTTTAGGACCTCGGCAACTTTACCACTCCTGGACTTCAACTCCCAGAATTCCTCAGCCAGCCATGCATTCTGGGAGTTGAAGTCCACAAGGTGTAAAATGGCCAAGGTTGAACACCCCGGACTTACACCCTTGTGGATGCTCGTCTGTTGCTTTCACCCCAAGCTGTAGTGTGGACTACACTACAACATCTTTTTTTTATAATGTGGTGACTAAACCTGGATGCAGGATTCTAGATGTGGTCTTTATAGAGCAAAGTTTATTTATAGAGTGGTATAGAGGTTTTCAGATCCTGGTTTGTTTGTTTTTTGTCCCTGAGCAGATACGGCCCGTCTTCCATGATGGAATACCGCAAGAATCTGGAGATCACTTTCAACAGATTGGATGCTGAACTCTCATCCTCCTGTTTGGTCATCTGGAACATGACCATGCCTCTTGGACCCAGGATCAAAGGTGGCTTCCTTATACCAGAGGTAGGAGAAGGAATTCCCCAGTCTGCTTCTTGTCTTAGAGGTGTGGTCTTGACGGGGGTTGTCAGCGTTGGTGTGTGGTTTGTTCCAGGTGCTCCTTGTAAGGCTTCTCTGTGGTGTGCTGGGATTTGGTTAATCTGCGACGAGCATCAAAAGGTTCTCTACTAATTGGAATTAGCATTGGAATTTACATATATCCCCTCTGCATGGATGATGTTTCCTAGTTTGGTAATGAAACGTCTGCAAGAAAACCAAGTTCAGAGAGACCGAAGGACCCCACAGTCATCGTCCTCCTCTCTGCACCCCCCCTCCCTTCTAACACTGATGATGTTCCCTAGTTGGGTCATGAAATGTCTCCAAACTCAGAGAGCATCAAAGACCCCCACAGTCCTCCTCTTCCACTCTGCACACCCCCTCCCTTCTAACACTGATGATGTTCCCTAGTGGGGCCATGAAATGTCTCCAAACTCAGAGAGCATCAAAGACCTCCACAATCCTCCTCCTCCTCCCTCCTAGCACTGATGATGTTCCCTAGTTGGGTCGTGAAACGTCTGCAAGAAAACCAGCAAGCACCAAAGACCCCACAGTCATCTTTCTTCTCCTCCTCCTCCTTCGTGCACACCCCACTCCCTTCTAGCACTGATAATATTACCTAGTTGGGCAATGAAATGTCTGCCTTTCATCATAGCACAGAACACAGACTGGAGCTGGAAGGGCACCTTGGAGGTCTTCTAGTCCAACCCCCTGCTTGGCCAGCCAAGGGAAGTTTGCCCCTTATTTCCTACTGTCTCCCAGCTGCAGCACCTGAACCAGACCCTCCGCAAGGACATCATTGAAGGCAACTTCTACGGGGCCACGCTGGCTGCCCTCCACCTTTTTGACGTGGTGGACCTCCACTTCCACTTCCGCTTCGACGTGGGGAACCGGGTCAAAGATGGCATCCACTGGAACAACGTGGTGCATCGCAGGATCACCAACCTTCTCCTGACCCATCTGGCGGACGCCTGGGGCGTCGTGATCCCAGAGAAGGATCCTTGGGAGGGTGAGTAGAAGGACACCCATCTGCTGTCCCTTGGGTCTCCACCCGAGGCAGGGAGAGGGTGATAAAGCCAGGAGCATCTAACTCTGGAAGAAGGGGTTTTTTTTCCCCCAAGGGTGCAGTCCTTTGGCATGAACAGCCGAGGGCGCTGTTGAGGCCAAAGACAGCGAGGCCTCTTTTCTCTCAACATCTACTACTCTCTAGTTTATACTACAGGAGCACTGAAGATGTAACCTAGCTTGGTAATGAAATGTCTGCAAGAAAAGCACCGAGCTCAGAGAGCAGCAAGGACCCCACAGTTGTCTTTGTTCTTCTCTTCCTCTCTGCATACACCCCACTCCCTTCTAGCACTGATGGTGTGACCTAGTTGGGCAATGAAATGTCTTCAAGAAATCAGCCAAGCTCAGAGAGCACCAAGGACCCCACAGTCCTTCTCCTCCTCCTGCTCCTCCTCTCCACAAACCCGTCTCCCTTCTAGCACTGATGATATTACCTAGTTGGGCAATGAAATGTCTTCAAGAAAACAGTCAAGTTTAGAGAGCACCAAGGGTCTTGCAGTTGTCGTCATCCTCCTCCTTTCTAGCATTGATGATGCTACCTAGTTGATTAATGATATGTCTGCAAGAAAATCACCAAGGACCCCACATCCTTTTCTTCCTCCTCCTTCACTCCACAAAAACCACTCCCTTCTAGCACTGATGACGTTACCTAGTTCGGTCATAAAACATTTTCAAGAAATCAGCCAAGCTCAGAAAGCACCAAGGACCCCACAGTACTCCTCCTCTCCACAAATCCCACACCCTTCTAGCACTGATGATGTTACCTAGTTGGGTCATAAAACGTCTGCAAGAAAGCAGCCAAGCTCAGAGAGCACCAAGGAGCCCACAATCCTCCTCCTCCTCCTCCTCCTCCTCCTCTTCTTCTTCTTCTTCTTCTTCTTCTTCTTCTTCTTCTTCTTCTTCTTNGCAACCGGATGGCGGCACAAAGAACGCAAGTACCTGGGGCCGGAGGGTTCACGGGGGACCATGTGGTGGGTTCTAGCAGGCTGGAGGTCACTGTCCAGCCACGTGGTGCTTCTGGAGCCCCTGGCCTGGCCGATAAGGATGGGAAGGTCTGCACTGAGCGGGCATGTGGGCAGGACATGGTCAAAAAAAAAAGTCAAGATGGCCGCCACCGTGTAGCAATCCAAGCTCCCTCTGTTTCTTACGGAGGTCGTACTCAATGCTTAAGAGATGGATCCTTGATGACGTCACCATGGCCACCACCTTGATCTTTTGGGGTTACACCTTGGGGACATCCCTGATACCGAGGGTGGTTGAGGAGTCCAGAATGGTCTCCCTTGATCCTACAGGTCAAGTGACATTTGCTGGACGTTATGAAGCCGACGGGCATTATCCGGAGCACCCCCGTTTCTATGATGACTGTTTACTCGTTCCCAATGGTGGGGGGACACCGACGCCTTTATCGGGATTTACCAGCTTTGAGGACTCCCGAGGCTTCTTTTACCCAGACAACGTGTTCAGAGGTCAGTGCTTATGTGCACATGTGTGTGCTCTCCCTCCCTCTCTCCCCGTCTTTCTCTTCCTCTCCCCCTCCCTTTCTCCTTCCCTCTCTCCGTCTTTCTGTCTCCCCCCTCCCTTTCTCCCGCCCATTCCTTTTCTCCCTCTCCCTTCCTGTCTTTCTCTCCTTCTCCCTCTCCGACCCTCTTTCCTCCGCTTTCCCTTCTTCCTCTCTCCCCTGCTCTCCCTTTTTCTCCCCTCCCTCTTCTCCCTCTCTCCCCATCTTTCCCTTCCTCTCCCCATCTCCCCCTTTCCCTCCCTCTCTCCCTTCCTCTCTTTCTCTCTCTCCGTCTTTCCCTCTCCTCCGTCTCCCCCTCTTTCCCTCTCCCTCCCTCCCTTTCTCTCTCTTCCTTAATATTGATCTCAGCAATTGCTAGTTTAACTGGAAACAGGCGTGGCCTACAAACGAAACTTCTGGGGGAAGTGAGACTGGGGAAGAATTTGCTTAATGACGGTAATTGGGACCGGACTGTCCATCACTAAGCAATGCAGTTGTAAAGAAGGACCGCAGTTCTGGCAGTCCCCATTACCATCGTTAAAGCGAAACACCTTGGGTGATTATGTGAGGAACTCACATGATTGCAATGTCTGACTTTTTGCCAGTTTGCATATTGACTTTGGTTGTGGGAACCTGTCAGGGAAGATCAGAAACCACAGGACACAGGATTACGTAACCACAGGACACTTTGGTAGTTGGTTGCGAAATGCCCAGATCCCCCGATTGCAATCGTGTGATCACATGGATGCTATAGTGGCCAAAACTCTTGAGGACCAGTTGTAAGTACTGCTTGTTCAGTGCCATTGTTAAGTTTGAAGCCTTGTTGTTAACTGAGGTCCTTTTGTACAAGCTAATAAGGATGATGTCCCCTGGTTTGCACACACAGAAAGCCCACTGATGGTCCAAAGTGACAAGCTGGCAAGGCATGGGCTGTGTTCACACAATGCATTTCACCGGCTCCGTAGTGTTTGGCTAGCTTTGATTTGTTCTTCGCGGCTTTGTGCCAATACATCCTGTTGGATTCATTTGTGCTTCGGAGCACTGTATGAAGCCTAACATGAGTTAATTAATTATACGTGGGTTGCGTGAAGATCTCCCTTTTGATGGCCAAAAGTGGCTATGTGTTTGAGGTACGTAGCAAGGAAACTTTCTCTACTGCTTCTTCCTCGTTTTGCTTTCTCTGTAGATGTGGCCCTCGACAACTTTGATTGCCATCTGTGGGGGCCCCCAGATCCCTTCCTGCCTTACCCCTCCCACAACGAAGAAAACATATTCCCAAGCTCCAGGTGGCATCGAAAAAGGAGAACACATGCGGGCGCTCCCTTTGTCATGCGCCAAGAGCACTCGTACCGGGGAGATGTTTCGCCGTACTGGAAACGCAAGCTCCCCTTGAAGCGCCACTGAAGATTGTCTCCTGCCACGACAAGGAAAAGTATCTCTTCCAGGGTGTAGGAGAAGAACTGACCGTGGAGATTTTCTCTCCGTTCTATTTTCTGTGCACCAAAATTGACCCGTGGAGATTTTCTCTCCGTTCTATTTTCTGTGCACCAAAATTGACCCGTGGAGATTTTCTCTCCGTTCTATTTTCTGTGCACCAAAATTGACCCGTGGAGATTTTCTCTCCGTTCTATTTTCTGTGCACCAAAATTGACCCGTGGAGATTTTCTCTCCGTTCTATTTTCTATGCACCAAAATTGGCTTGTGTGCTGGTGTCTGTGACAAAAGGATGCAACATCCTCTCCGGCCTGGTCTTGTCTTGGACAATTGGCCCTGACCACTTCACCCTCATTCCCCCTCGTCCCAGTTGACCCACCACAGGGGCCCTTCCTTGTCTACCCGTTTCCATCTGGGGCCCCACACTGCGGCCCACAGGGGCTGCAACTTCTGCCGTGCTGCCAGGACAGTGGGGCACTGGTGGGCTTGGCTCACAAGGTGGCGAGAAGCCAGGAATTGGGTGGAAAGGGTTGGGTATCTATTTAGTGTCAGGAAGACCTCCGTTGTGTCCTGAGGTTCGAGCCTGGTGCCCACCACCCTGACAATTTAGAAACTATTTCTGAAACACCGTTCCAGAAGTGACTCCCTGGAGTTATGTTGATCTCAGTATTGTTTTTCTCTTCCCCTACTCCAAGGTTGGGGTCTAGCCCACTCCCAGGCCAGGGACCCTTTCTGGCCAGGGACCCCTTCTCCTTGGCCCTCTAGGGACCCCGACTTACAAAAGGATTCCAACAGCCAGTGTAAGATGGACGGATGTGCGTCTGCTTATGCATGCTACGAAAGAACACGACACACCCCAAAATCATTTCTAGTGGGAAATATTAGAAGTTCATTTGTAACTGACCGATTCCGAAGCTGCTGATTGCAGACTCGGTCCTCTATATTCTGCTTGTGTTTTTTTAGTTGTCTTTTTTAAAAAAAATAAAACCTGCCTGTTATTGTTTACATCTGGAGGGTTATTCTAGTCTTTGCTCTTGGTCTTACTTTATGGAGGTGTTTCTCAATCTTGGTCACTTTAAGATGGGTGGACTTCAACTCCCAGAATTCCCCACCCATCTTAAAGTACCAAGATTGAGAAACCTTGATCTAACCCTATCTGGAGGGCGCAACACGGTGGAAAATGTTGAGAGGGGTCTCATTAAGAGGTATTAAAATCCTTATGATGGGGATATAAACGTATCGGACTTCTTTGGAAACCATTTAACTGTGGGTAGGGAAGAGTTCCAATAATAGAAAAAGGAAGAAATAGTCTCAAATTTGAGTCCATTTCTTTCACTGGGCAAGACACTATGTGTCAGAAACTCTATTATTATAACATTTTAGCAGAATCCCTAGAAAAGCAAAGCAAAACAAACCACTCCTGGATTTATTTTTCTTAAAAGAAAAAAAAACTGAAAAAATAAAATAAAATTCAAAATAAAACCAAGGGCTGCCTGGCGAGATTGTGACAGGGTGGAGAAGACGCAAACAAAAAAACAGAAAAAGAGCTTTGAATTTTAGGTGGAGGGGACGACCCACCAACCAGAAGGGCAATCTGTTGCAAGAGAGGCAATCCCCCGGCTAATGGGACCTGTAGTCCAAAGTATATCCTGTACTGTACATATAACCATAATTTTATTTTTATTTGCACGTATTTTCAGATTTTTTTGTAAAAACAGTGAGCATTTTAAGCAGGGGAGGAACCTGCTCAACAGGAGCAAAAAAAAAAAAAAGCTCTGTTGCAAGAAGAGACCATCCCTATCAACACCCCCACCCCCACCCTGGAGGTGGCTGATGGGACTTGTAATCCAAAGCACTCCTCAGTAGAAGCCCAAAGTCACCCTCTGGATCGCTCACTGCTGCAAAAATGATGGGGATATTTTAAAAATTGGGCCTTTGCAGCGGGGGAGGGGGGGAAGGAGGCAACCTCCAACCCTATTCCGGCCTCTCATGCACAAGGGGAGACCCGCTGGCTGCCTGACGGATGGGATTTGTAGTCCAAGGGTCCCCGGGTGGGACGAAGGGTCCCTAGGTGGGGCTAAGCCTCGACGAGAAGGCATTACACACACACAAACACAAAAACACACACACAGCGTCGCAACCACCTAATCGCCTTCACCTGTGCGGCCGAGGCCCACCTGGCCGTGCTGAGGCGCCTCGCGCGCCGCGGCCGTCTCCATGGCAACCGCTCCGCGAGCCGAGCGATCACACCTGTGTTTGCGCGGGAACGAGCGCGCGCCTTTCCCGCCCAGCGCCCTCGGACCGCCTCGCGGGCTCTTTTCTGCACGCCCATTCTCGCCCGTTGATTGGCTGCTCCGAAAACGCGTCCCTCGGATTGGCTGAGCGGTCTGTCCCCCTCGCTGAGAGGCGGGGACATTTAAAAAGTCGGCGGGCTCCTCGGGCTGAGCGCAAAAAAAGCAAAGCGGGCGCGCCTCAGAGGCAGCAGACGCCGCTACCGCGTCTCTCGGTCCCCGAAAGGGACGATGCTGCGGGGCGCCGGAGGGCAAAAAAAAAGTCTCTCTCCGGCGCTCCCGTGGCCCAAGTCCTCGAGTTCGAAGCTGGTCAGGGGCCTTTTGAGCTTTGAGGTAATTCTAGCAGAGACTTTTCTACGTTGTACGATACTGAGGGGAGCGCGCGTTCTTTAGCTAATTAATAGCTGATTGTTCTCGGGGAGTCAGGATAGCACCTCTGGTGATTTTAAGCGCGGCGTGTATTCTTTGGAGTAAAACGCCAGGGGTGGCTGAGGTAATATCTCAACGGTGTTTTATTCAAAGGACGCCAATACCACAGGTCGCTAAAGATACTGTTATCTCAGTCCTCGCAAACCGTGTGTCTTGAAGTAATTCTAGTCAAAGCTCACGTTCTTAAAATTTGGGTGGAACCTGAGGTAATCTCAGCCATGTCCTTTTAAAAAAGGACCAAACCGCCACAGGTTGAATAAGAGTTAAAATTAACGTTAAAGATAAAATTGCCTCAGGAGCGGACCTTCCTCTCAGGAATAAAATGAATTCTTGGGAATTTTGGCTAGGACTTCAAGTACCTACCTACTTACCTACCTAATCTACCTAGCTACCCGCCCACCTCCCTCCCTCCCTCTATCTCCATCAATCCATCCACCCACTCAGTCTATCTTTATCTCCATCTTATCTATCTATCTACCTACTTACCTACCTACCTCCCAATCTAATCTACCTATCATCCATCCATCCAATCTACCTCCCAATCTAATCTATCTATCATCCATCCATCCAATCTACCTCCCAATCTAATCTACCTATCATCCATCCATCCAATCTACCTCCCAATCAAATCTACCTATCTACCTCCCAATCTAATCTACCTATCATCCATCCAATCTACCTCCCAATCTAATCTACCTATCATCCATCCATCCAATCTACCTGTCTACCATCCATCCATTATACCTACCTACCTCTTTCTCTCTCTCTCACACACACACACAGACACACAGACACACACATCTGGCCACATTCCCTGTTTTGCCATCCTCCGTGTCCTATTAGAAATGAAATTTTAGCTCCTGGAATTCTCTTTTATATTCCTGACAGCCTCTTCTGTGGCTGCTTTGAGCTTTCATCAAAGGAAGGAAATGAAAGAACAAAAATAAGCCACTCCAGGGCTTCTTTGCCAAATGTTACAGCACACACTGGTCACAGGAGGGCAGACTTTGCTGCTTTGACTAAACTCAGTTTTATGGGTCTTTGCTTATTATGTATATTCCTTTATCAAAGGTGTACGCTGAGTGCCCCTAGGAAAAAAAGCACAGAGTTGTAGGAATCATAACAAGGCCCTAGAATTCTTGATCAGGGGTTGATGAAAGGTATCCGTAAGGGGGGGCAGACTTTCCTGCTTTTACCAGCTGGGCTCGGGGTGAAGAGAATCAAAGTCCTGCCCCAAGACCTCCCACTTGCTATCGGTAAAGCCGCCACAAAACAATACAACTCCATATTTTGAGCTGGAGCAACAGGCTTGAACCAGAGGAGCTGGTCAAAGGGACATTTCCCCCGAATCCCGAATTAACCACAAAACAACAGCTAAAAGGATAATACTTTCTCCTTTCTGTATGTTTTTCCTTCTTAACAGTGGAAGAAAATACAGTGAACAATTGCTTTGGGATTATAATTATAATAAAATAGAGCTGAAAGGGACCTTGGAGGTCTTCTAGTCCAAGGCTTTTCAACCAGTGGTACGGGTACCACCTGTGGTACATTGGCACCTGGCAAGTGATATGCGACCATCCTAGAAAAGTGGTAGCGGGGGAGGGGAAAGAGCTGAACCGGTGGTAGCACCGCACAAGCCTGAGCGAGAGATGGCTGGAGCTGCAGGGCTGTCAGGGCTCAGCGGAAGCGCCAGGATCTGCTTCTTCGGGACTGTCAGGGTTCAGTGGAAGCGCCAGGATCAGCACCAGGCTCCAGCTGGAGCTCAGCACTGATCCTGGTGCTTCTGCTGAGCGCTGAAGAAGTACCAATCAGTGGAATGTTGCAGCCTCTCCAGGGTCTTGTCATTTACATTCAGATGCTTGGCAACTGATTCATATTTATGACGGTCACAGTGTCCCAGGGTCATGTGAAGTGACCAAAATCTGCTGCAACCACCCAGCAGACGGGGGGAATAAAAACCAAACACCCCCCCACCCCACCCCCGCTGCCAATCCTCAACAGAAATGCCTCACAACAATGAAAACCTTGGACAGGAGGAAGAGCACCACCGGGGGGGGGGCAGGTGTCTTGCTCGGCTGTGGCTTGGGGGGCACTTTTTTCAGTGCCATTGTAACTTCGAACAATCACTAAGTGAACTGTTGTAAGTCGAGGACTACCTGTACTTCATCACTTTTTTACTTTTTTTGGGGGGGGGTGGCCATCAAATTTTTGACCCCTTGCTAGGCGACTGGTGGTACTCGGATATTGCCATATCCTAAAAGTGGTACAATGGGTGAAAAGGTTGAAAAGCCCTGTTCTAGTCCAACCCCCTCCCTGCTCAGGGCAGGAAACCCTATTCTATAGCAAATAAATTAGCTTGTAGGTACAGTTTGTGACCTGCAGGAGGCAGATGAGGGTTTTTCCCCCCTCTTTGGTTTCTGTTACTTGGAGATTAATAACTGCAAGAACTGAACTTGGTTTGAAAATCACTGCGTCAAGGGAAATAGTTGCATAACGGTAAAATTCAACCTTTTGCAACAAATGCCCTGCAGATGTGCTGGAATATTTACCTATCCCTGCAGTTTGTATGGGTGGGGAATGGTGAAAACACTACAGGTAGTCCTTGACTTACAACCTTGAGCCCAAAACGTCTGTTGCTAAGTGAACCATTTGTTCAGTGAATGTTATGAACCTTCCTTGCCACAGTTGTTAAGCGAATCACTGCAGTTTTTAAGTCAGTAACCCAGTTGTTAAGTGAATCCGGTTTCCCCCCAATTGACTTTGCTTGTCAGAAGGTCACAAAAGGGGATCATGTGACCCCCAGGGACGCTGGGACCGTCATAAATACGAGTCAGTTGCCCAGCTTCTGGATTTTGATCATGTTGACTGCAGGGATGCTGCAACGGTTGTAAGTGTGAAAAACGGTCATAAGTCACTTTTTTCATTGCCACTGTAACTTCAAATAACGAACGGTGTTATGTCAAGGAGTAACAACCATCCGTTTGTACATTGCAACAATTAGGAAGTTCTTCCAGATCTAGAAAGCTGCAACGTTATACTGTCGGAGGAAAAATAACCCAAACTTTAGGCACAAATAAAAATTCAGAGGGAGGGGAGATGGAAGGAACATTACATGCTGAGCAAAAACGTATAAGGCACTGATAAGGAAAGAGATCACGCAAATAAGAGCCGTTGTGAATCGAAGTTTCTTTAGATAGTGTTTTTCAAACTTGGCTACTTTTAAGATGTTTGTGGATTTCAATTCGCAAATTCCTCAGTTTGAAAAAACCTAGTGTAGATGAAGAGGGCTAGCATACGAAGGACAGAATAACATGCTGATATTTAGTAAAATTTGACTGGATGTGGAAAAACGATTGAAATGCAAAATTTTTGCCAAAGATAATGAGCAGGCTTTAAAAATTTCTTGGGTTCCCACCCCCTCCCCAATCTTGTTGCTTGCAGAGTGTAACTGTAGAAAAGACACAAACTCGGGTGTGGTTAGCATAGAGATAAGGGGGAAAAATATTCTGGGGGAGGGAAGGGAAGATTCAGGCTTAGCTGAAGAATAAAGAGGACTGGCCCAATGTGGAATTTATTAAATTTTGAAAATGTTGGGTCTTGAGTTCGATAAGGGAATAAAATGAAACAAACTAAACAGAAGTAAAAGGCCTACATCTGAAGCTGTGTCTGAGCTGTTTTAGCTCAATTCCAGATCAAAGCTATGCTGGCTTCTAGTTCCCATCAATCCAGCCTGCTTGATTGTGGATCATGGGAATTATAGTCCTAATGGCACCAAGGAAATGAAGCTTCTCCCAGTTTAAGACCAATCCCTGAGAGGACCTCTCCCTCCCTCCCTCTCTCTCTTTTTCTTTTTGTCTCTTTTTCTCTCTTTGTCTCATTCTGCTTTTCTTTTTCTTTGTTTTCTCTCTCTCTCTCTTCTTTCTCCCCCTTTTGTTTCTCTCATTTTCCCCCTTTCTCTTTTTCCTGTCTCTATCTCTGCCTCTTCTTTTTCTCTTTCTTGTCTCTTTGTCTTTCTCTGTCTGTCTTTTTCCGCTTTTTCTGTTTTTCTCTCTTTTTCTCTCCTTTTTCTTTCTTGTTGTCTCTGTCTTTATCTTTTTGTCTTTTTCTTTTTCCTCTCTCTGTTTCTCTCTCTCTGTTTCTGTTTCTATTCCTTTTTCTCTTTGTTGTTTCTACCACTTTCTCTCTCTCTGTCTCTTTGTCTTTTTTTCTCTTTTCCCCCCCCTCTCTCTTTCTCTTTCTCTCTTCTACAGATTTAGCATTTGTGAGGAAGGGCCGGGCATGTTTCTTCTCTTCCAAGCTGTTGGTAGATTAAGTAGAATAGGATTTAAAGAAGAAGACCTCTGTGAGAAGCTTATGGCTGGCAACCAACAGAGTGTAGGAGCTTCCAAGGGCAGGCTGTGTTGGGACATGGGGTCAGTTATGTTAACCCAGTCGGATAACAGGAGTTCAAAGATCACTCCGTTGGGAAACCCGATTTAGGCGGGGCGAACTCAGGTGACACAAAGCCTCTTCAGAGAGTTGGTTCAATTCCAGCCAGGAGAAGGTTGAATCTGCATTCTTGCTGATGTAGAACTGAATGTAGAACTTAACTTCTCCTTTGGGGAGGTGACTGATGACTTCAGGTGGACCTCAGTGAGTGTCGGGGATTTTGTAATAATACCAATGCGCAGAAAAACCTACCAGCTTAGCTATGAAAGAGGGATTTTCCTCCAGGACTTTGTGAAAGCCCATGTTCTCGTAGGACCTATGAGCGATGTGTTGCACCATGGAGGTACCCAACACGACTTCTTCATAGCCACGCTCCTGAGAAAACCGGATGACCGTCTTGATTAGAGCCTTGGATAGCCCTTGGCCACGATGCTCCTTCTTCACGGACATCCGCTTCAGCTCCCGGGCGTTGCTCCACCAAGATGGGTTGTCAGGATGGGTGAGGGCCACCATGCCTACCACTTCCTCTCCAATGTCCACCACCCAGAAGCCGCAGTCCTCTGTCTCCAGGTAGGTCCCCTGGATGTCCAGCAGGTCCGTAGTAAGGGCGTTTTGGAGATAGTCTTCATAGATGTTCTTCATGGAAAGCACGCCGACCACCAGGAGGATGGACACCACCACCAGGGAGATGATGTAGGACGCCGAGCTCAGGTAAGTCATGAGGAAGACAGCCAGAAGGCCCAGGTGTGTCTGAGGACGCCCGAGAAAGTGCCACAATGCCCGAGGAATGTGTTCCTTGATCCCTTGAATGTAGAAGGTGCGCATCATGTCATAGTCTCTGTCCTCGTACTTCCGGATGTGGTATTTGCCTGCGAACAAGTCATGTTTCTCCTGTCCTGCAAAACAGAAGAGGCAGACATCTGGGGAGATTCTTTGTCCTCCAGGTCAGGGTTGTCCCAAAGGTGCTTTTTCAAGAGACAGCGGGACTTTCTTGTTTTTCTTTGAAGACGTTTCGCTTCTCATCCAAGAAGCTTCTTCACTTCTGACTGGATGGTGGGGAATGGAAGGATTTATACTCCTTGCAGACTGCTGGTCATTTGCCTCCTTTTAGAGAGGCGTTGAGGCTACCTGGAGATTTACCTGTGTCCTCAGGTCACCTGAGTGGTGCAAATGGGTGTGGAGCCTTCTTGGCTGCAGGATGTTTTCTGCCCTGGGTCTCTTCCCCGTTGAAGACGGGTGCAGGCTGTTGGGGATGAGTCTATGGGGGTCTGCATCTCAAAACTGAAAAAACATCTTTGGGATAACCAGGACCTGGATGACAAGAGAAGCTTCATAGACATTTAGCCATGCATTTGGGATGGAAACCCTTCGAATGGTGCGGGAGGATGAACGGATTTCCAGAAAACATTGCAGACTCCAGGAACCATTTGCGCTTCAGTTTGAGATTCAGACAACCCAGACTCATCCCCAACAGGCTGCGCTGGTCTTCAACGGTGAAGGGACCCAGGGCAGAAAACGTATCACAAAAAAGATTTTGAGAGTTTGGAAAAAAATTCAGATAAGAGCAATTAAAATGATCCAAAGCCTGGAGAGTAAAACATTACGAAGAATGGCTGCAGGACTTGGGTTTGGCTAGTCCAGGGGCAGGCAACCTTGGCTCTTTTATGACTCGTGGACTTCAACTCCCAGAATTCCTGAGCCAGCATGGCTCAGCTTGGAAACCTCTTTCTTTTCCTTTCAGCATGGCTGGCTCAGGAATTCTGGGAGTTGAAGTGCACAAGTCATAAAAGAGCCAAGGTTGCCTACCCCTGGGCTAGTTTAAAGAAAAGAAGATCAGTTGTTGTTCTTTGAATTTTTTTCCCAAACTCTCAACATCTTTTTTGTGATAAATGAACTGTCGTTAAATCAAGGGCTACCTGTGTCATCTGGAGCAATCAATCTGAACTGCCACTTAATCTAGGAGTCCTGATTCTTATCACTTGAACCTCCCCTTCCTATTTGCCACCTGGGGAAAAATCAATCCATCAGAGTAGAGCTGGAAGGGACTTTAGAGGTTTTCTAGTCCAACCCCCTGCTCATACTGTTAGGAAGGAGCAGTCTTCACCCTCTTTCTCACACAAACTCTGAATTTGAGTTCTCTCTTGATCCTCTGGAAGGCAGCCTCTCTCTCCTGGGAATCTGGACTGCATCCCAACAGAGTCCTTTTTTAATTCCATTTTTAAGCCGGAATTGTCCCTGCTGGCATTAAAAATATAGCTGGCCCAATTCCTGCCTTGCAAAGGTGGACGGCTACTCGCCCATCCCACATCACTTACCTGCTGCCAGGTGTCCAGGTGCTGGCCTCTCCTGACCATCTATGATAGCAGCCATGATCTTGCAAGGAAGCGACAAGATTAAAGGGAAGAAATCCTGCCAGCTTCCTGTAAAGTCACTCTACAATCTCTATTTTAGTCCAGAGGCTGTTAAAAAAAGGATCTTTCAGGGATCAAGCTTGCTTTCACTTTGCAGGATCCCGAGAGATGGGAAAAAAGTAATTCTATATATACACGATGTTTATTAAATCCTTTGAAACTGGACTAAGTGTATAGCAAAACCCGGATCGGAGCTGCCGGATTTAAATCGGCTTTTGTAGATTAAATCGAATCTAAATGACTTAAAAGCCGTCCTTCAAAAAAGAGCATTTTATACCCAACTCCCCGGCACGTCTGTTGAATGGCTGACTTGTTCATCGTGAGTTGGATGATAAACCAGTCAAAACTCAGATTAAGAGCCTCCCCCTTTTTTTTTTTTTTAAAGGTTGAGACAGAAGACAAAGTCCACACGCGCCTGGAATTTTAGTACTTTATTATTGCAAGGCAATAAAATGTGGTTTGGTATTTTTTTTTCTTCTTCTTTTTTAAATGAGGAAAAACCGTTTTGTGGCTTGGAAGCTTGGTGAGAGATGAAGAGTGCCGTAAGGTGAACAAGGATCAGGTCTAGAAACATGTCAACTTTATTGAAGAATCAAATGTATTTCCCCACACGGCACAACGCCAGTGGACAAACCTGCACAGGACAATAGGGTCACTGCTCGGACAGCGAGACGTTGAAAAATCAGCGGAGGCAAAAATGGATTGAAGAGAGATGGACGCAATCCATTCAAAACAGCAGCACAACAATCAAAATTCTTCAACCGTGTGAGGTTTTTTTTTTAAAAAAAAAACAGGGTTTAAGATTTTTTTTAAAATCCCGCCTTTATTATTTTTAAGTATAATTCAAGGTGGCCAAGGTATCTAATAGTCATTTCTCCTATTTTTCTCACAACAATCCTGTGAGGTAAAGTAGGTTGGGACTGAGTGACTGGCCCAGGCACCCAGCCAACTTTTGTGCCTAAGGCGAGACTAGAATTCACTGTCGCCTGGAGATTGGCCCAAAGTCACCCAGTTGGCTTTCGTGCTAAGGCGGGACTAGAACTCACCGCCTCCTGATGATTGGCCCAAAGTCACCCAGCTACCTTTCATTCTTATAGCAGAACTAGAACTCACCGTCTCCTGGTGATTGGCCCAAAGCCATTCAGCTGGCTTTCATGCCTAAGGCAGGACTAGAACTCACCGCCTCCTGATGATTGGCTCAAAGTCACCCAGCTGGCTTTCGTGCTAAGGCGGGACTAGAACTCACCGTCTCCTGATGATTGGCTCAAAGTCACCCAGATGGTTTTGATGCTTAGGGCAGAACTAGAACTCACTTGTCTCCTGGCTATTTGCCCAGAGTCGCCCAGCTGGCTTTCGTGCCTAAGGTGGGACAAGAACTCAGGGTCTCCTGATAACTGGCGCAAAGTCACCCAGCTGGCTTTCACGCCTGTGGCAGGACTAGAACTCACCATCTCCTGTTTTTTTTTAGCCTGGTGTGTTAACCACCAGATCAACCCGACTAAAGCAGACTTCATCTTCGCACAGATTCTTTCCTATTAAGAAATTTGGCAGGGAGCAACGGCTTGGCCACTATCTTGCCAGTACCCAAAATGGCTGACTGGATCTAAATCCAAAGAATCCTCACTAATCCAGCTCCTTTTCCAGGCAGGCAAGAAGGAAGGAAGGAAGGAAGGAAGGAAGGAAGGAAGGAAGGAAAGAAGGGCAGAGCAAGCACAATAGACTTATAAACCGCTTCACAGTGCTTTACAGCCCTCTCTAAGCGGTTTAGAGTCAACCTATCGCCCACAACAATCTGGGTCCTCATTTTACCGACCTCGGAAGGACGGAAGCCAAGTCAACCTTGAGCCAGTGAGACTTACATTTTGATTATGTTATAATAATAATAATAGTAAAGTTGGAAGGGACCTTGGAGGTCACCTAGTCCAACCCCCTGCTCAGGCAGGAAACCCTATACCAGTGGTGGCGAACCTTTGAGAGACCGAGTGCCCAAACTGCAACCCAAAACCCACTTATGCATCGCTGGGTGCCGGGCAGGCGTGGCCACTGAATGGGCATGGCCACTGAGCTGTCAGCTCATGCTCACTCGCTCGCACGTTCGCTGTCCGCTCCGACTCGTGCTCGCGCTCTCTGCAGCAAATGCTGCTTCTGCCGAACGTTGCTCCTTTTATAGTCTCTCACCTATTCCCAGACCGCGCATGCACGGAGAGCTGCGCATGGATGGAGAGGAGGAGGGAACAGCTCGGCCCACCAATGGCTCGCGTGCCACCAGAGACGGCTCCGCGTGCCGCCTGTGGCACGCGTGCCATAGGTTCGCCACCACGGCCCTATACCATTTTGGACAAATGGCTGTCCAGTCTCTTAAACACCTCCAGTGTTGGAGCATTCACCGCTTCTGGAGGCAGGTGGTTCCACTGGTTAATTGTTCTCACTGTCAGGAAGTTTCTCCTTAGTTCTAGGTTGCTTCTCCCCACCCAAGCTGGAGGCCCAGCTGATTTTTCTACAGACATCCCGTCCACATTGAACCTTGAACCTGTACTGAGAACTAACAGCGGGTTAAAAAGCAACTTTAGCTAAACCGACTCTGTTGGATTTTGCCAGAATTTTGCACGGGCTTGCTGCTTTTTAAGATTACCTCCCCCCCTATATTTTCATTTTCAGAATAAATTTCCTTTTTGTCTCTTAAAAGCTAAAAATTCTTCGCTAGACCGAGGTCAGCCTGGCTGATGACCGATGCCGTGGTAAACTTTAAAACAGGAATTCTTGAAAAAAATCGGAAGGCCAGCCAGAGAAATGTTAAATTGTCTCCCCTCTGGGAGAGCTGAGAAAAATGGTTGATTCCAAAGATTGAGGGATTAAGACAGCTCCCCCCATAGAACAGGGATAAAGAATTGGGGACTTGTCTATGGAGATTCTCAGTCCTCCAGGTATGTTTGTCCCAAAGGTGCTTCTTCAGGAGGCAACTGGACTTTGTTTTTCTTTGAAGACGTTTAATGATAATAAAGTTGGAAGGGAGCTTGGAGGTCATCTAGTCCAACCCCCTGCTCAGGCAGGAAACCCTATACCAGTGATGGCGAACCTTTTAGAGACCGAGTGCCCAAAAACTGGCCCCGCCCCCACTCCATGCCCTGCCCTGCCCCGCCCCCACCCCATCCCCCACCCCGCCTGCCCACAGGGCCACTCACCGCCTCCAGGGCCCGCCGCAGATCACCAAGGCAGCCTAGCAGAGCCATGGCAGCCACGCCCTCTGCCCATGCCCTGCAGCATCAACTGTGCGTGATGGGGTGTGAGGGCAGAGTCTTGTCTATGTTGCCTGGCTGCCATGTCCTTGGCAGCGCTGCTCCGGGTGGGCCACGCTTGGGGGCGACTCTCCTCCAGGGGGGGCTGCTGGTGAGGAGGGGGTCATGGGAGGCGAGGCTGGGGGCAATGGCACGTGTGCCCACAGAGAGGGCTCCGATTGCCGCCTCTGGCACGCGTGCCATAGGTTCGCCACCACTGCCCTATACCATTTCAGACAAATGGCTGTCCAGTCTCTTCTTAAAAACGTTTCGCCGTGACCTGAGAATCTCCATCGACATTTAGCGATGCACTTTGGGAATGAAGGGTGCACCTTCGAAGGGTGCGGGAGGGTGAACGGATTTCCAGAAAAGATTGCAGACTCCAGGAACCATTTGTGCTTCAGTTTGAGATTCAGACAACCCAGACTCATCCCCAACAGCCTGCGCCTGTATTCAATGGTGAAGGGACCCAGGGCAGAAAAACGTCCCGCAGCCAAGGAGACTCCACACCCATTTGCACCACTCCGGTGACCCCAAGGACACAGGTAAACCTCAACAGTGGCCTCAACGACTCTCCAAAAGAAGGCAAATGACCAGCTGTCTGCAAGGAGTATAAATCCTTCCCTTTCCCACCATCCAGTCAGAGCTGAAGAAGCCTCTGGGATGAGAAGGGAAATGTCTTCAAAGAAGAAACAAAGGAAGTCCAGTTGCTTCCTGAGAAAGCACCTTTTAAGATATCCCTTCCTCCCATCCATCCACCTATCCATCCATCCATCCATCCTAAATTCCAAACCTTCCTTTCTTTCATCTATCCATCCATCCAAACTTCCAGACCATCCATCCATCCTAAATTCCAGGCCTTCCTTCCTTCCCTCCCTCCCTTTCCTCCCTCCCTTCCCCACCATCCAGTCGAGCTGAAGAAGCTTCTTGGACGAGAAGCGAAACGTCTTCAAAAGACAAAGTCCAGTTGCCTCCTGAAAAGAAGCCTCTTTGGGATTTGGGGATTGTTCACGTAGAGAAAAAAAACCTTGTTGGGGACATTTTCCTATAGGAATTAATTCCTGACCCTTCACTGACACCATTCCTCCATACTTTTAAGAGGGCCTAAGATCGATACAGGAAGTCCCCAACTTAAAACTGTTCGTTTACTGGACCGTTGGAAGCGATGCCACGATTAAAAAAAGGGGACTTAACCATTTTTCACAGGACCGTTGCAGCGTTCCCTGTGGTCATGTGATCAAAATTCAAAGGCTTGGCAACTGGCATGTACTTATGACACCTGCAGCGTCTCCAGGGGAGTGGTGATGTCACGTGATCCCCTTCTGACGAGCAAAGTCAATGGAGGGAAGCCCGATTCACTTAGCAATCCCGTGGCAGTGGTTCTCTTAACAACTGTGGCAAGAAAGGCCGCAAACTGGGACAAAACTCACCGAATATGTTTCGCTTAGCAATGGAAACTTTGGGCTCAACCGTGGTCATAAGCTGAGGACTACCTGTATAAAAGGAACAGTAGGTCCCCGTAATCTGGAGAAACAAGAAACAGGATTGCTCCGGCAGGAATATGGCTCAAAACAGACCCAGGGAGATAACAGCTTAGCCTGAGGCATCCCTTCTCTGCTCAGCCCTCCGAAGTGCACTCAGGATGTGGGTTCAAGAAGCTAGTCCAAGATACCCAAGCACAGGTATTTGGGGGGGGGAAATCACTACCAATACTGTAGTAGTAGTGGGGTTACTTTGCAGGCCTTCTCGTTCTGAGAAACCAAAGCCACAGATTGGGAAATAAAGAGACCACGTCTCTCCCAGTCATCAGAACGCCAGGGGCCGTGTACCCTGGAGAAGGGGGAGAAAATGCTTTTTTCCCAATGGGATGAGATGAAAGAAAAAGCTTCCGCCAATCCAAGCAGGGTAGGCAAAAAAGCCCCCGCCCAACAGGCTTCCCTGGCACACACTGGTGGTTCGTTGTCGTGAGAACAGCCCTCTGAAAAGGGCCACGTGGACGTGAGTTTAGAATGCTGAACCCCAAGGCCAGAGCTTAATGGGGTGGATGGAAAAAACGCTTCTCCGCCGATAAAAATGTACATTTTTTTCCTCCCTCACTTGCAAAGACGCCGCGAGGAGACAGGGAGTTTTCCTCTGCACATTGCTAAAACTTTAGAAGGCCCTGAAAGCCGCCTTGGGGGAAAAAAAAATCAACGTCCGGAAATGGAGACGCATCTTGGTTGTTGTTGTTGTTGCAGTGTGTGAAATCTTAGCCGCTTCCCCTGCCCTTTTGTTGACTTCGTGGGGTGGCCCAGCTGCAGGAAGAAGAAATGGGGTGCGAGGGCGGATCCAGCCCGTCGCCGGAGGACAATCCTCCGGCGGTTTCCTCACTCGGCGCTAGGAATGTCGTAGCGATACTTGGAAATCGTACAGTTGGCCAGCCTGCCGTAGACAGTGGGGAGGATGTAGTGGTGATACTTGCGGAAGCCAACCCCTTCGTACATTGCCCGGGCTTCGTGCTGGACCATGAGAGTGTTCAGCACCACGGAGGAGTAGCTGTGCTCCCGGGCAAAGGAGATCACGGTCTTGCAGAGGGCCTTGGCGATGCCAAATCCCCGATAGTCTTTCCGAACGGACATCCGTTTCAACATGAGCTCGTTGCGGTGTTCTTCAGAGGGTCTGGCCCCAACCGTGGCCACCACGCTCTCGTCCACTTCGGCCACCCAAAAGCATGAGCCTTTGTCCCCAAGGTACGTGGCCTGGATGTCCAGCAGGTCCTTCTGCAGGCAGTGGTCAATGTACATGGACCAGATGTAACCCAGGAGTTGCCGGCCCATGGCTAGCAGCAGAGTGATAGCCAGGATGGGTAGGAGCAACGACTTGGAACTGGTGAGCAGAACGCTGAAGGTGCAAGTCAGGATCAGAATGACCCACGGCTGTTTCAGCATGTGGATGCACAGAGTGGGCACGTACTCGCTCATCCCAGTGGCAAACAAGTCCCTCACGGTCTCGTAGTCCCCAGGACGGTACTGGCGGATGTGGTAAGACACCATGGTGCGCCAGGCAGGGATGGATCAAGAGCAGCGAGAAGGATCTGGAGACCCCTTGATTAAAAAAAAAAAGAAATCAAAAGAAAGGTGGTTTAAGATCCAGATTCAGTCAGTTTTGTTCCATACAATATTAACTTTATGAACTCTCAAGCTTTCTCTTTCCGCTGTGTATTTAAGATGGACAGTGATTAATTTTTATATGTATTTTATATGTAAGGGAATAGGTGTATACCAGGGGTAGGCAACCTTGGCTCTTTTATGACTTGTGGACTTCAACTCCCAGAATTCCTGAGCCAGCCACGCTGAGGGAAAATGGAGAGGTTTCCAAGCTGAGTCATGCTAATTCAGGAATTCTGGGAGTTGAAGTCCAGGAGTCATCAAGGGAACCATAGTTCTCCCATGCTGGCTCAGGAATTCTGGGAGTTGAAGTCCACAAGTCATCAAGGGACATAGTTTTCCCCATGCTGGCTCAGGAATTCTGGGAGTTGAAGTCCACAAGTCATCAAGGGACATAGTTTTCCCCATGCTGGCTCAGGAATTCTGGGAGTTGAAGTCCACGAGTCATAAAAGAGCCAAGGTTGCCTACCCCTGGTCTATGGCACATGTTGTATATGGCATGTTTATGTGTGTTCTGTACATGTACCCTTTTGAGAGCAAGCAACAGAATTGGATTTTTAACGAGTGCCAATGTGGCCACAGTAAAAAAAAATGACAATAAAGTTTATCTTATTTTATCTTATCTAATAAATAAATGGATGTGTCTCTTGCTTGTGACCACCTTGGGATTTTTCAGGGCAGCCGCCAGCTTCTGCAGTCCCCCTTTGCTGATGCTCTAGATAGACAAATGGCATTTGAGCTAGATTTGGCATTTTTGGTCAAGCGCAGGCAGTCCTCGGCTTACAACAGTTCAGAGAAACTTCCTGACAGAACAATTAACCAGTGGAACCACCTGCCTCCAGAAGCGGTGAATGCTCCAACACTGGAAGTCTTTAAGAAGAGACTGGACAGCCATTTGTCCGAAATGGTATAGGGTTTCCTGCCTGAGCAGGGGGTTGGACTAGATGACCTCCAAGGTCCCTCCCAGCTCTGTTGTCGTTATTATTTAGTGACCGTTCGAAGTTACAACAGCCCTGGAAAAAAAAGCGACATATGAACATTCTCCACCCTTACGACCGTTGCAGCGTCCACGTGATCGAAATTCAAACGCTTGGCCACCGGCTCGTATTTATGACGGTTACAGCGTCCCGGCGGGGGGGGGGGGAGGTCACGTGATCCCCCTTTTGCGACCTCCTGACCAGCGAAGTCAAAGGGGGAAGCCAGGATACACTTGACAGCCTCTCGCTAACTTAACAGCTGCAGAGATTCACTTAACGACGGTGGCAAGAAAGGTCGCAAAACGGACCTTAACCAACATCTCACTTAGCGACGTAGGTTTGGGGCTCAGTTGTGGGTCGTAACTTGAGGACTACCTGTACATTCCCCCCCACCCAATGTTTCTCAACCTTGACCATTTTAAGGCATGTGGACTTCAACTCCCAGAATTCCACAGCCAGCATTGCTGGCTGTGGAATTCTGGGAGTTGAAGTCCACATGCCTTAAAATGGCCAAGGTTGAGAAACACTGGCTTAGAGCCCTAGGGGAAATCTGCTGCTTGGGCAGGGGGCTGGACTAGATGACCTCCAAGGTCCCTTCCAACCCTATCCTAAGGATTAGGATTAAGTGGTCCTACGTAGGCCAGCTGTGGAAAGCCAACCACTGCAGTCCTGCGCATCTGGCGGCCCCAGACTGTTGAAAACCGGGCTCCCCTGCGCTAGCCGCGGACGATGGGTGTGGTAGTCCCCCCCTGGTGGGCACCCCGTTGGGAGGGGCGCGGGCGGGAGCGTCACTCGGGCCTGCCCGGACAAGGAAGCCTTCCTCGGCCTGCTGCCCCCTCGGCGGCTCAAGTACCTGCGGGCGAGCCGCACCGCCGCCGCCTTCGCCACAGCCGCCGCCGCCGCCCTCAGCAGCAACGCCACGGCCTCCTTGCCCTGGCCGCATCGAACATCGTCATTTCCGGATGGCGAGCGCGCTTCCGGCTCTTCCCGCGAGAACACTCCCCCCTCTCTATGGTAGGACTCGGGCGGCCGGAGGACTGAATTCTTTCGGACTGTAAGGGCTGGGAAGGGGGCGTGGCCAAGCCAGGCTGCACGCGCGGGCGCCTGCGCGCTCTTCTGCGGACGGAGGGAAAGGCCCCCAAGGCTCCAAAGGGGCCTCGGGAGCTCCTCCCAAGTGGCGCCGGCCGCGCAGGCGCAGATCCCGTCGTTTGCCACTGGGCGGCCGTTCAGGCGCCGGGACTACAGTTCCCAGGATTCATAGGGAGAGAAACAGTAACCACGTGTTGGCTGATCGACAAGTAGTCCTTGTGCTTTCCTGGTGGTCTCCCATCCAGTCATTAACCGGACCAGAGCATAATAACTATGTTCATGCAAGATGCATCTTTACCAAGACATATTTATCTATCTATTATCTATCTGTCATCTCTTCACTGTATCTATCTCCATTCTATCTCCATGTCTATCTGTCTATCCATATCTATCATCTTCATTGTATCTATATCCATTCTGTTTGTCTGCCTCATCTATCTATCTATCTGTCTGTCTGTCTGTCTATTTATCCATCTATCTATCCATCCCTCCCTCCCTCCCTCCCTCCCTCCCTCCATCCATCTATCTATCCATCTATCCATCTATCTATCTTCATTGTATCTATCTCAATTCTGTTTCTCTGCCTCTAATCTCTTTTTCTTTCTCTCATTTTCATTGTATCTACCTCCATTCTGTTTGTCTGCCTCTCTCTCTCTCTCTCTCTCTCTCTCTCTCCATTGTATCTATCTTCATTCTGTTTCTCTGCCTCTAATCTCTTTTTCTCTCTCATCTCCATTGTATCTATCTACCTCCATTCTGTTTCTCTCTCACACACACACACATCACCATTTCATCTATCTTTATTCTGTCTTCCTCTAATCTCTCTCTAATCTGTCTGTCTATCTGCATCTATCTTTCTCCATTGTCTCTGTCTGTCTCATATTATATAGCCACCCATCTCACACAAAAGTGGCCCTTGTTGAGCCCACACCTAGAACCCCTTCTGTGATTCTGGGCATCACATGCTGGCTGGGAGTTGAAGTCCACACATCCTTTCAAGTGACCCAGGTTGAGAACTGCTGTGCTACATGATCCCCTTCCAGCTTGACCATCTGAAGCCTGTTTCCCTTTTCTGCTTTTCTTCGGATTGACCACTCACCCATTCTAATAATATTTCGGGCAGATCTTACCGCGGGCGCCAACTTGCCGATTCGGCGTATTGGGAAGGCGAGAGAATAAAAAAGCAGCTGCAGAGAACATGGGGAGATTAAATATCCAAAGAATTTATTGGGTAAAAACTCTTTGAAGGCCCCTTGACTTGCAAGGGCACGGCAATGCCCGCATTTTCACTGAAACGATTCTTGTAAGCCAGGATTCTCTGCCTGCCGTCGCCCCCCTCCCCAAATGTTGCCGGCAAGCACCCCGTGGCCTGGCGTGGCACAGCCTGTTCTGCCAGGACCAGCCTGCCAGCCACAAGGCTGTGACCTATTTTGTGTCATTCCAGTACTTGGTGCTTAAGAAAACTATCTAGAATACAGAGACAGGGGAGGTGGGCTAGGGGACTAAGTCGTAGAAGATACGACTTAGGTCCTCAACTTACGACTGTTCATTTAGCGACCGAAGTTACAACCATACTGGAAAAAGTGACTTAGGGCTCTTTTTTTCACACTTGCGACCGTCGCAGCATCCCCAAGGTCAGGGGATCCAAATTCGGACGTTTGGCAACTGACTCGTGTTTATGACGGTCGCAGTGTCCCCGGGGTCACGTGATCCCCCTTGGCGACCTTCTGACAAGCAACGTCAAGTCGTAAGTGTGAAAAACGGTCATAAGTCACTTTTTTCAGTGCCGTTAACTTTGAGCGGTCGCTAAATGAATTGTTGTAAGTCAAGGACAGCCTGGATAGGTGTGCTTTAAAGAGCCCAGACAGCTCTGGAAATTCAACCCTGTTTTCTGACTGACTTATAGGCAGTCTGTCTTAAGATGGAACTGACCTTTGTGTTTGACACAGAGGAAGGGAGGGAGGGAGGGAAGGAGAGAAGGAAGGAAAGGAAGGAAGGGAGGGAGGGAGGGAGGGAGGGAGGAAGGAAAGGAAGGAAAGGAAGGAAGGAAGGAAGGAAGGAAGGAAGGAAGGAAGGAAGGAGAGATATGGGGATGAGAGAAAGCAAGGAAAGAAGGAGGGAGGAAGCAACGAAGGGAGGTGGGAGGGAGGAAGAAAGGAAGGGTGAAAAAAGGAAAAAAAGAAAAGGAAACAAAGAAAGAAGAGGAAGGAAATGAGAAGGAAGGAAAGGCTAAGACAGAAAGAGAGAAAGGAGAGATGGAAAGGAAGGAAGAAAATTGAGGAATGAAGGAAGGAGGAAGAGAGAAAGGAGGGAAAGAAGAAAGGAAGGAAATGGGGAAGAAAGAAACAAGAAAGAGTGGGGGAAAGGAAGAGGAAGAGGGAGGAAGGAAGGAAGGAAAGAAAGAAAGAAAGAAAAAAGAAAGAAAGAAAGAAAAAAGAAAAAGAAAGAAAGAAAGAAAGAAAGAAAGAAAGGAAGAAAGAAAGAAAGAAAGAAAGACATGTCCAGGTCTTTGTAAAACTATCAACAATATTTCTCCCTAAAAGCCAGGCTAGGATATCTCAGTTCTTTTAAAAGTCTGGGAGGCGCACTCCTTGCTTGTGGGCCGAGGGCCGGCATTCTCGCAGCCCCCCCAAACCGAAAGGGTCCCAGCCGGAAAAAAGGGCCCAACAGCCCCGTTCTTCTCGGGGCGACGCTGAGGGCCCCCTCCTTTCCCTCACTGGGCCTGTCTCTGAGCCTCCAGTTGGCGCAGGCGCAGCTTGCGCAGGCGCAGTGCGAGGTCCTTGGGCACCTTCCCGCCCTTGGCCAGGATCTCCCGCAGACGCTGCTTGGGGGTCTTGGTCAGGCGGAAGTCGCAGAGGGTGGCGCTGTTCTCGTAAGAGACGTGGCAGGTTCGGGTGACGGGGTGGTAGCCCTCGGCCGCAGCGGTCACCTCGTATTCGCCGGGGTTGAGCAGACGCCAGTAGTCCCCATCGAAAGCTGCCGGTGGAGAAATGGAAGAGGGTTACCCAACTAGGGAATATGATCAGTGCTAGAAGGGAGTGGGGTTTGTGGGGAGGAGGAGGAGGAGGAGGAGGAGGAGGAGGAGGAGGAGAAAAATGTAGGGTTCTTGATGCTCTCTGATGGTGGTTTTCTCACAGACGTTGCATTACCCAACTAGGGAATAAGATCAGTGCTAGAAGGGAGTGGGTTTGTGGAGAGGAGGAGGANAGAAAAATGTAGGGTTCTTGATGCTCTCTGATGGTGGTTTTCTCACAGACGTTGCATTACCTAACTAGGGAATATGATCAGTGCTAGAAGGGAGTGGGTTTGTGGAGAGGAGGAGGAGGAAGAGGAAGAAGGAGAAGAAGGAGGAGAAGGAGGAAAAGAAGAAGAAGAAGAAGAAGAAGAAGAAGAAGAAGAAGAAGAAGAACAACAACAACAACAACAACAACAACAACAACAACAACTGTGGGGTCCTTGGTGCTCTCTGACCTTGTTGGGGTGTATATGTGGTTTTCTCCTTGATTAAGGAACTACCTAATTAGGGAACTGCTTGATCAGGGAACTTTAACTTTGGTCAGCGCTAGAAGAGAGTGGGGTTTGCAGAGAGGTGGTGGTGGTGGTGGTGGTGGAGGAGGAGGAGGAGGAGGAGGAGGAGGAGGAGGAGGAAGAAGAAGGATGGAATGTGGGGTCCTTGGTGCAGTTTTCTTCCAGGTGTTAGGTAACATCATCAGTAATGTTGACTAGCACTGATGACATTACCTAGTTGGGTCATGAAATGTCTGCAAGGAAACTGCCCCGCTCAGAGAGCACCCAGGACCCCCTCAATTCAACCACGAGCTACAAAGATTCTCCTGTATTAGTAAATTAAAGAAGCGTTGCTGGGCAGCTGTGGCATCGGCTGCCCACGTGGGCTGCGCCACGGCTTTCGGTACCTGTCCTGATGTCATGGTTGATGCCGTCCACAGAAATGATGGCATCGGCGATGCCTCGCTCCGTGTCTTTGTCCCGGACGATCCCCTTAATCCCTCGGTGGATCTGGAAGGAGACATCCGGTTACATGCAAGGACCGGGCTGCTGAGATGACCCCCGTGGCCGGATCTCCCAAAGGATTTATCAGAGTTTGGATCTTCTCACAGGATCCCGAATTGAGTCCCGGGGGGGAAGGGACCGGCGATCCTTACCTGTTCCATGTACAGCAAGAGGGATTCCTTGTTGTTCTCCCACTCCTGCGGGAGCTCCGATTCGTGTGGGAATTTGTCGCAGGAGAGCTCGATGGTCACCTCAAAGCAGTTGGTGTGCAGGTAGCTGAAGTCGTTCATACCTGCAGGGAAGAGGACCTGAGCAGACCTCACTTTGACCCCGGAGGATCCCGACCCACAAGGGATCCGGAGAGAGCCAGTTTGGTGCAGTGGCTAAAGTGCTGACCTAGAAATCGGGAGACGGTGATTTCTAGTTCCGCCTTAGGCATGAAAGCTGGCTGGGTGACTTTGGGCCTATCAGCAGGAGACGGTGAGTTCTAGTCCTGCCTTAGGTGTGAAAGCTGGCTGGGTGACTTTGAGCCAATCACTAGGAGAAGGTGAGTTCTAGTCCCGCCTTAGGCATGAAAGCCGGTTAGGTGTCTTTGGGTCAATCACCAGGAGACGGTGAATTCTAGTTCCACCTTAGGCATGAAAGCCGGTTAGGTGACTTTGGGCCAATCACCAGGAGACGGTGAGTTCTAGTCCCGCCTTAGGCATGAAAGCCAGCTGGGTGACTTTGTGCCTATCACCAGGAGACGGTGAGTTCTAGTCCCGCCTTAGGCATGAATGCTGGCTGGGTGACTTTGGGCCAATTACCAGGAGACGGTGAGTTGTAGTCCTGCCTTAGGTCAGAAAGCCGGTTGGGTGTCCTTCTTTCCATCTCCAGGGGACGGGGAGTTCTAGTCCCACCTTAGGCATCAAAAGCCATCTTTGTGACTTTGGGCCAGTCACCAGGAGATGGTGAGTTCTAGTCCCTCCTTAGGCATGAAAGCCAGTTAGGTGTCTTTGTGCCTATCACCAGGAGACGGTGAGTTCTAGTTCCACCTTAGGCATGAAAGCCGGTTAGGTGTCTTTGGGTCAATCACCAGGAGACTGTGAGTTCTAGTTCCACCTTAGGCATGAAAGCCGGCTGGCTGACTTTGTGCCTATCACCCGGAGACGGTGAGTTCTAGTGCCTCCTTAGGCATGAAAGCCGGTTAAGTGTCTTTGGGTCAATCATCAGGAGACGGTGAGTTCTAGTTCCACCTTGGGCATGAAAGCCGGCTGGCTGACTTTGAGAGCCAATTAACCAGGAGGAAGGGAATTCTACTCTTGCCTTTAGCACGAAAGGCGTCAGGGTGGCTTTGGGCCAATCACAGGGAGATGGTGCGTTCTAGTTCTGCTTTGGCGTGGATTTTGCCCCGTGCGTTTCTCCAAACCCTTTGCTTAGTGCTAGTCTGCTTAGTTTACCGCTAGTCCCCATGGAGGACGGCCCGTTCACCTACTTCCCGGCAC